ACTTTTCAATGATCTACTCACATATCCGAATTAATTAACAATTTAAGAAAAAATAAATTTAATTAAATATTTTATTYAAATTATTTAATACATTTTTATTATCTATGAAATAAAACAAATATACCTTTTGTTTTTATGTTACATAAAAAATATTAAAAATTGTTATATTCGCATTTTAATAACTAAATATACTTAACAATTGTTAAAATAATAATAATATGAAGAAACATTCGATACAAGTTCACTCGAGAGGTCGCAATTCATCTTAACAACATAATACAGTGTTAAACTAGGTGTCAAATAAGTTAAACTCACTTCAAAACTAGCATCAAGCATTTTGGGCTCATACTCGTTTCAGCGCTAGTTTACACTAGTGGCGAAACTAGCACCATACACTGAAATTCTCGTGCTAGTTTCCACGCTAGTTTAAACTGGCGGTGAAACTAGCGTGGAAGCGTGGAGGTCTGACCTGCACAAAAAGACCGAATGAACAAGTCTATAATCTCGTTGGAATATATAGTGGATTTGGTTGATGTGATCGTGTATCTATCTGACTATAGATTCCTATAACATTGGTTTGTAGCTTTTTTATATGTTTCGTCACAACAAACGGTAAATCGGGTATCCCCGTCATCTTTGGATGCTTTTATGCCCTTCTAAAGGAAAGCGTGAGTTAATTGTAAATAACAACTTGATTAAAGCTATATTTTTCTGTTTTAATGTTTTATAGTTTTATTCTTAATCGTGTGAGTATTGAGTTGTGGTTGCATATAATTGGGTATTTGATTAACGAGTTTTCATCAAGAAAATGGCAGGCTCGCGAAAAGATGTTTTTTTTACCGATAAATATATCTCATTTGGCAAATTTTTAAATTTAATCAGCAATCTTTCAGTTTTACCGTTTTAGTGACGAGATGAGTGCTAGATAGTTGCATCAGAAGGTTTTAGCTTATCGTTGATGTCTTCCCCCTTTGGAGATAGCCACAATTATTGCTTTATAGTAACCTCCGACCTTAACTTAATCTTTATGTAAGGCTTTGTCTATCTTTTGTTTACTAGAAGTGTACTCTCGCAATGCAGCGAGATACATCGTTATTTTAATATTTTATTTTATTATTTATCTCAGTCGATGTTATAATATGGCATTAGGTGATTTTGAGAAATTGATGATGTTTTTATTTTTGAATAAAATATATGTTTGACGATATCATAAAAATTTGACAAAAATATATCGATATTAGTATCAAATTAACTATTT